GAAGATTTGCATCCTAGTATAGACCTCTAAGTGCGAATATTAAAAAATTCTTTTGCACGAATTCTATGCGGTACTTATGTACTCCATATTGGGGACTCCAGACACATGAACCGTACTCCAGGACGCACCAAAGAAATAAATAATGTTTTGGTTATGTATGGGTCATTAAATTCTTTTGACCACCTTTTGATAAAACCAATGACTCCTTTAGCCTTATTAACCGTTAAGGAAATATTAAATATTAAATAAATAAGGAAAATTTAAGTTTAATGTCTAAAAGGACGCCGAGATCATTAACCTGAGTTAATTTGAGTTAACCCGAGTTAATTTGAGTTAACCTGAGGGCAGGACAATAAATAGATAAATTCTTGCATTTTGATCCATTAAGTATTAAATCATTAGCTAAACACCATTTTTGAAAGTTATCAAGGTCAGACTGAAGACTGCATTGGGCAGAGATGGATTTGTACTGAAGACAAAAATCATCTGCATACATAAGAACTAGAGAGTTCGTTAAAGCAGGGGGCAAGTCGTTTATAAAAAGCGTAAATAATAACGGGCCAAGATGGCTACCTTGAGGGACGCCAGATGTAGCACGGACCAGACGGGACTATATGTTTTTAAGAAAGACTTTTTGTGTCCTTCCATCTAAGTAGCTGGAGATCCACGTTAAGAGGTCTATAGGAAAACCCAGCATATTCAGTTTACTCAAAAAGAGTGAGTGATTAACTGAATCAAATGCTTTGCTGAAGTCTGTGTAAATAACATCGGTTTGATATCCCTTACAAAAGCCATCTTTGACAAAGGATGTCAACTCCAGTAAATTTCTGGTGGCTTAATGAAGCCATGCTGACAGGATAATCAAAGAGCAAAGGTGTAGCAAATGAGGGGTAATTAATTTTTCAAATAATTTTGGAATTGCCGACAACTTAGAGATGCCTCTGTAGTTGGCAGCATCGGACTTTTTCCCTTTTTTATGTAGGGGAATTATGAAGGATTCCTTCCACTTAAAGGGAAAATCGAGGTTTCCAAAGATAAGTTGAAAAGTCTTAGAAAAGGCTTGCACAAAGCCCTGGCACGGTGTTTTAGCACACAGCCTGGTACTCCATCGGGGCCTGGCGAATAAATGGGTTTGACCCTTAGAAGATCAGATATTAAGTTGTTCTCAAAGAAAAACGGACTGAAAATAAGATTTGCTGCTTGAATGTTATATTCGTAAGGCTTATCTGTCAATTTAGGCGGAGAATAAGTTGTTTGAAAAAATTCGGCGAATAGATCGGCAATGGCCTGATCAGAGGTCGCAGAGGAATTTTCAAACGTAAGCAGGGGTGAAAAAGATACGTGTTTACGCTTAGTGTTTACAAAATTATAAAACTGCTTTGGATCCTGAGTAAATTGTATCCGGCAGCGGTGAGTATAATTCCTGTAACATTCAGCGTTATGCACGGTAAAATTTGACTGAGCTAGTAGATATCTTGAAAAATCAATTCTACTGCAGGTTTTTTTATGTCTAAGTAAAAGCTTATTTTTACTATTTTTTAGGTTAGTGAGGCACCTTGTAAACCAAGGAGGATTTGTTGAAGCGGACGGATATTTCCATGGCACACATGAGTCAAAAAATTTATTTAAAGTACAATAACATTTTTCTTGGGACACGTTAAGATTAGTGCATGCCAGAATATCGTACCATTCATAAGTATCGATAAGGCTATTAAGTTTATGAAAATCAGCATTACGGAAACAGCGAATCTTATTTACCACGCGTGGAGACATCTGATCGATACCAGGAATGATTTCGATTGATACCTTTAGCGTGGGGTGATATGGATCCTCTGGGGTTGAAAGGGCAAAAGCTCTAAAAAGAATGGTGCCATCAGGGTCAGATAGACAACAAAAGTCTATAAGCCGAACTTATTTCAAACATGGTTGATTTGACTTAGAAACATGCCCGAGGTGAAGTCATGTTGCGTGATAAGTGACAAAGATCATCTAGACCACTTTAATTCGGGGATATTGAAGTCGCCCACCGCTACGAGTTGGTCACGATCCATCATAAGATTAAAGACGTATCGAATAGCGGACAAATGCTGCCAATATGTGGGCGGTTCAGACATAGGCTGTATATATGAACATGTATAAAGATTTCACGGAGTGATTTTAACGCAAATAAATTCTATGTCACCAAACTTGGGATTTCACCTCTTCAGAAGCAAGAGTGGAGTCTACCGAAATGAGGACTCTACCTCCCCTTCGCTGAGGTTGATCCCGTCTAAAAGTGGTGTTCTTACTTGAAAAAACTTCGGAGCTAAAGATCTCCGGCTTTAACCAAGTTTCTGTAAAGGCTATATGGGATGCAAAGAAAGAACTATCAGAATAAAGTTTGGGGAGTTTGCTACATAGCCCCCTAGTATTCTGATAAGTAAGTGTTAGTGACGATACTAGTTTTTGGGTTAGTGGACGAAGAAGAGGTGGAAGGTTGGTCAGTGGTTCTGATATCGGGTAGTTTAACTCCCACTGGTTTTATAACTTTTTTCTTCACGGAACGAGGCTGATGTTCTTGGATGAAAATATTTTCTGGCCAAAAACTGGGTGAAAAAATCGTCTTGAACATCAGCGCGAGCACACCAATCTTGAAAGAAGACGTGCGTCGTATATAATTATATTAAAATTTAGCTATGTCCTCCACCTTTATATCGGCTTTTGTTTTGGCTTTGATATAAGCCGAGATATCAATCTCCGAAGTCCCAGGGGCAAGACGAGAAACAATCACGTCGCCAAATATTAGTGATTCTGAATAAAGACTGGAGTACGTTCAAAAAAAGGATTGCTGATTGATTGATTGATGGAGCTTACTTTTCTCCCTTTAAGAGCTACCATTTGGTGAAGTTGCTGACTTCTTCCTACAATTTGACCGATTTTTTAAACGTATTCCAGTCTTTATTCGACATCACCGATTATTAGGGATGTGATTGTTTTATTGCGGTGCTGCCACTGTACCTTCGTTACTTCATTGTCTTTAAATTAGACTCCTTCATACCTTGCCTGATGCCAGATCAGATCTCATTGATCCCAATCACAATTTATATCAGCACAGATGTAGGCAAGAATAAAATTTCCAAAAATTTGTTTAAGGCGGCTTCAACATGACACCTTTGAGAATGGAAAATATATTTCCATAGTCAGCCTTGCTTTTTATACTCTTACAGAGGGTATTATAATTTTGTCCAAAAGTGTGCAACGCAGTGAAGGAGACATCTCCGACCCTATAAAATATATATATTCTTGATCAAGATCACTTCCTGAGTTGATTTGAGCATGTCCGTCTGTCCGTCTGTCTGTCTGTTTCTACGCGAACTAGTTTCTTCATTTTAAAGCTATCGACTTGAAACTTTGCACACACCCTTCTTTCCTTTGCACGCAGTATATAAGTCGGAACGGCCCGGATCGACCGACTATATCCTATAGCTGCCATATAACTGATTGATCGGAAATGGTATAACTTTGGTGTTTTTAGAGTTAGAGAGTTCAAATTTGACATGAGAGCTTTTTACACCCTTGTAGAGGGTATTATAATTTTGTCCAAAATTGTGCAACGCAGTGAAGGAGACATCTCCGACCCTATAAAGTATATATATTATATATATATTCTTGATCAGGATCACCTCCTGAGTTGATATGAGCATGTCCGTCTGTCCGTCTGTCTGTCTGTCCGTCTGTCTGTTTCTACGCAAACTAGTCTCTCAGTTTTAGAGCTATCGACTTGAAACTTTGCACACACCCTTCTTTCCTTTGCACGCTGTATATAAGTCGGAACGGCCGGGATCGGCCGACTATATTCTATAGCTGCCATATAGCTGATTGATCGGAAATGGTATAACTTTGGTGTTCTTTGAGTTAGAGACATCAAATTTGACATGGAAGCTATTTTTGGCAAACCATTACGATATGTCAAATATGACCCAACTTTCGTGTTTTTGAAGATAGAAAGCTGGAACTCAGTACAGATTATATTTTTGGTCAGTTGATCCAACCTACCAAATTTCATTAGGAACGGCCGACTATATACTATAGCTGCCATATAACTGAACGATCGGAAATGGTATTTGGTAGAAATATCAACTTTCGTATTTTTGAAGATAGAAGCTTGGGACTTTTTTTTAGATTTTTTATTGTAATTAATTGGTTTTATTATGATGTAATCATAAGGATCGGCCAACTATATCCGATGTTTGCGATATATATCCGGTTTTAACTGCAAGGGTATATCAACTTCGGCTCCGCCCAAAGTTAGCTTTGCTTTCTTGTTTTTGGTAAAACATGCCAAATTTCATAAGGATCGGAAATAAACCAACTTTCGTGTTTTTGAAGATAGAAAGCTGGAATTTAGTACAGATTCTATTTTTCAAGTTGATTGTTGATCCAAGTTGACAAGTTGTCAGTTGACCCTCCTACCAAATTTCATAAGGATCGGCCGACTATATCCTATAGCTGCCATATAACTGAACGATCGGAATTGACCCAACTTTTGTGTTTTTGAAGATAGAAAGCTGGATTTTGGTACAGATTATATTTTTGGTCAGTTAATCCGACCTACCAAATTTTATAACGACCGGCTGACTATATCTTATAGCTGCCATATAACTGAACGATCGGAAATGGTTTTTGGTAGAAATACCAACTTTGGTATTTTTGAAGATAGAAGTTTGGGACTTTTTTAGATTTTATATTATTATAAATTGGGTTATTTTATCATATTCTCATAAGGATTGGCCAACTATATCCGATGTTTGCGATATATATCCCGTTTTAACTGCAAGTGTATATCAAGCTTTACTTTTATCTTTACTTTCTTTTTTTTTTTGCAGTACTGAAACCGTGCCTTCGTTACTTTTTTGTTGATTTACCGAATTCTTCATACCTTGCCTGATGCCAGAACATACTTTTGTGTTTTCTTTTGTATATAAAAATGTTTTTTAATTGTATATATTTTTACATTTCAGGCAGCAACATGAATGTTTACAACATCATTCTTTGGAATCTACTTGTGAGGAGGATCACAACTATTTTACAACACAAGAAGAGAAAAGCATATCTGGAACTTTATCTTGCGTTCTGCCCCTGAATATGAAAGTCGAATCTCCAAATAATGTTTCGACCTTGTTGAGAAATAGTTCGATTGATGGACTTATATCATATAAGCGAGTACGCCGTCCTGAGGCATCTTTAGCTCAAGCTGCCAAATACATTTCAAAGGGCCGAACATTTCAAACTGTCAGCAATATGTTCAATATACCGGTCTCAACTATTCGTTTTTATATGGCTCGAAAAGGTATTCTTCCAAAACGCAAACGTGGACGAGGAGCTTCACATGTCAGCAATGTTGCTATCCCATCCCACGCTGAGATATCTCAACACAATCAAGTTTTTTCCGATTCTGTTCTAAAGGAAGAATCTACAAATTCAATTCTACAACAGTCTACAAACAGTAAAAAGTACACCAAATTCACAATCTTTTGAAATAGATAAAGCTTTGATCACTCCACATGTAAAGTAATATGAATGCTTTTGAGGCTAACAGCTATAAATTTAAAATTGTCTTCAATTAAATAAATGTTAGCTAATATTATAAGTAAAAATACATTTTATAGAAACGATTGCAGTTTTGTGAGATTATCTTATGGATACTTTTAAATAAATATTTTATTTTTGTTTCATTGTAGGGAGGTTGGAAAAGATTTTTAGGAAAAGATTTTGGTTGCTGCCCGCCAACGGCAACCTCCAACTCAAACGATCAAGTTTTCAAAACATGTTCAAAATTTTCGGCCAAGTTTAAGAGAATCCACTGAAACATCACAAGATTATGTCTACAGAATGTTAGCGACAGAAAGAAAAAGTATGGTACACGATGCTTATATTTGCAATCACATTATCAACGGTCTCAACGACTTTTAATGATTTTGGCATACGTGGCCCACAAAGAAGTTAAATGTTATCCAACCGGCACGATAAAGAAACGGGATAATTAAAACAGCTTCAAGAAAAGATGGAACTATCTATCAAGTGTTTCAACTGCCAAAAAGTACTCTAGATGTACTCTCTACTCATTGCAATCATACTACGCACAATTGAAATGCCTGCCTCGAAAATACAGGACCTTAAACAAACAAAAAAAAAACCAACTGCCGTTTCGGGCTTCTTTAAGCCACTTTCAGTAAATGATAACGACACTGTAGCGTTCTTTGCCCGCGGTAGTACTAGGACATTTATCCACAAGCCATTGTCGCAACTAATATAATTGACAAATTTATTTGTGCAGTCAAATTGTATTGTGGAAAACCAACTATTATCGCAAGATATTTTTCTAAGTAAAAATATATTGTGCGGCTACGTATATAAACTTTCAATAGAAGACAACCAGTATTTCATCGAAAACATCCGTCAGATCACACGTGATCCACATCAATCAACCCTCGAAGCCACAGAAATCGAAAAAAATGTAAGCAAGAACTCTTCTTGCTTTTCCAATAAAACGAGTGAGTTTGGAAAATGTTCCCTAAAAATATGTGTTAGCTTTGAGCTTCCCGAAAACGACATTATTCGCCCTTTTAATTCAGCGTATGCCTCTGGAATCGTTATAGTTTGGAAAAAGAATGAAGGATATTGTATGTGTTGATTACCGGCGCTTAAATAGTATAACCTTTAAAATGTTTTTTCCTATGCGTAGCCTTGAGAAACGGTGTAGCCCAACTTGATGGTAATGCATTCTTTACCCAATTTTGTCTACGTATGAGTTACCATCAAATTGAAGTCAGGGAATCGTCTAGAAAGTACACGGCATTTGTCACGCCCGACGGACACTATGAATACAACCGTATCCCTTTTTAACTCGTCAATGCCCCTGTGGTCTTTCAGTTTCTAGTGAATCGGATCATTAAACGTATGACCCCGTTGAAGTACTAGCGTAGATGAAAGACACTCGCGTCTAGATAAAATCGGAACCAATAAACTGCAAACCCTACAAGTATATTGACATTATATGATTTTTTAGACCACCGTGAGGTCCACACTGACGTTTGTGCCGTAGGAATTACGGGCGTCCTTCTGCAATCTCACGAAAGTAAGGATTGACATCTAGGTGACTATAATATCCTAGACCTAAAGTGACTTAACATTGATAATTCACGATTTCACCACGGGCATGTCATGTCACTCGGTCAAATTCAGCACGTAAATTGTTAACTTTTTTTGGAAAACTTCGACTCTTTCCCCTAATTGGAAGGAATCTTTCATAATTCCCTTGCATAAAAAAGGGAAAAATCCGATTGGACGCATCTCTAAATTTTCAGCAATTCCTAAGTTATTTGAAAAATGAATCTTCAACAGGCAGACAGACAGACAAACAGGTAAGCAGAGAGACAGTCAGACTGTCTACCCTGAGGAGCCAAATCATCCGACTCTTAAGATTTTAATCGAAACTAATACTTCTATCGAACTTAAGGCTGACTTTATGAAACTAAATACCTTATTTCTTGAAAGGCGTTTCTTCGATCTTCTGGCATGTGACGATATAAATATCGGCATACATAAATTTTAATAAACTTAAAATTTGTTCTTTGACTCCTGCGTGCCGTCCGTGTCAAAAATATCCATGTAAATATCCGTCCGTGTTAACATCTTAGCCTTGGAAAATTAGGCATCTATTAAATTAAAAGAACATTAAAATTAGCTCGGTTTAATTTCAACGTGCCTAACGCAGAATTTTATAAGACCTATATTTGCCGCTGCAGGATTCAGTTAACTTAGGAATCGAAGCCGTTTCATAACTTTGAAATACCGATCAGACAATTTTCACAATCAGACAATCGATCAGACAATTTTCACACAACGTGTGACTTATAATAGCCAGCTTGGCTTAGCTTTACACTTATAACAGCCAAGCAGCCAACCATATTTTTTTTCATTTTTTTCTACAAGTAGCTTGTTATCGGATCTTCCTAAGGTTAAGCCCGTTTATTCGTCAGGCCCCCTTGGAGTATAAGTTCTGAAAAACTTCTTCTGTGTAAACCTCTCCTTAAACTGTTCAACCCATCTCCAAGGGGCCTTTACCCCGTTTAGCTTCAGGCCCCCCCGTTCAGGCCCCCTTGGAGTATAAGTTCTGAAAAACTTCTTCTGTGTAAACCTCTCCTTAAACTGTTCAACCCATCTCCAAGGGGCCTTTACCCCGTTTAGCTCATGCTAAACTATGCAAACCCCATATGGAGGGAGTCCATTATCAATTTTTGATAACATTTATGCCATTCTTGCTTGTATTGATACGTATTTATATTGAATAAGAATGAATGAGACACAACAATGAGATGCATGGAAGATAGAAATTTTATAATGCTTAGACACGTAATAATATTATTTCGTAGCTCAAGTATGTATAAGTTCTTTCCTACATATATGCAGTATGTTGTATTTTTTAGAGCGAGTGTTGCCCCAGTTTTTTCCTGTTTCAGATTTTGTTGATAACACTACTGCTCTTGATATCGCGAGTAGAAAAATTCGTACATTTGCTGAAGAAAAAGAAGGCCCCCGCGTATATAAAAAGTTTTATCGAAGGCTATCAAGGAAATTTTGTCAAAAATCTTGGTGAGAGAAGAAAGCAAGGCTAAGAAAAGCTTTGACACGTACCAGCTGAAAAGCACCAAGGCCCTACTGGCAAGGCCCTGAGTGGTAATATAGGGTATCGAACCCGATGTTACCGCAACGGAAATAAAAACCGCCGTTAAAGAAAAGAGCTTCGCCGCCATGAATTTTATAAACATTCTAAACAAAGACAAAAAGCTACATTGCCTCTTCAAGGTCGTGTTCGAGTCAGAACGCAGATCGTTAAAAAAAAAAACTCCGCTCAATGCACTAGAAACAAGGAAGACAATACCGTGATGATATGTGGAAACTTCAGAGGGAACCATACCGTGAACTGAAGAGGATGTCTCAAATGAAAAATCGCATGCGACAAATGACACTATTCGGTCTTTAAAACACCACTAACGGCTTCTCTTATGCCAATGTTCTACGGTCTGGGGTGGAAAATCATTGCTACAGGTGGAAAAGAATCTTACAAGAAAATACAACTCTGAAATAATATGCAGTGTATAGCATTGTAGATTGTAATCTACCGCACAGATCATCCGGATGGTAAAGCCCACGTCGAAACCCGACTTCTATTCAGAGAACGCATCGTTTTATAGCCGCACTAGACTACAATGCCAAATATACGCACTACGTGATCCCTAAACGTCTCGTAACTCCCAAAGGGAGGAAATTGTACCATGAATTATAAATGTGAGAAATAAACTGGATTATGTTTCTTCAGGAAGCCCCACATACTGGCCAGCAGACCTACGAAATCTTCCAGACCTTATTGAATTTGCGCTGACAAAAAATATACCTCGCCATCTAATACAAAGCAATATCCAAAGCAATATCGGACTCATCATCCGAACACTCTTCAGCCTGACGTCGTCAAAAACTAACAGGCTTTAATACAAAAAATACATGAGTGCCCATATCGAACTTTCCCCAGAGCTTAAGGGGGAAAATACAATTAAAAATTTATTTTTTTCAAAAATTTTTTTTTGTCCTAATGTACTCTAAATATGTCTAGGAATAAGCCTTTAAAAGCATAAAGCCGTCCGGTACTTATTTTCCAAGTAATACGCAATTTAGTGAGTGCGTGTCAGTGGTAAACTTTAGTGAGTGGTAAACTTTAAACGCTTCTACTGAAAAGTCGTGTTTTCAAAGTCGCCGTGCAATGTACAGGTCAGAGATTTCATTTTAATCGAATGCGGTTTTTTGCTTTATATTTGAAATTAAATTCTCCACAACATGAATGAAAGGATTTTTCATATTTATTTGTTATAACATGTTTTTTTGACGAACAAAGTCGAAAAAAAGTGTGTTTTTTTTAAACATTTTTTTCAGTTTCAAATTTTTTCATGGAAAAACCCTTTTTTTTTACATATGAAATAATTCATGTTGTGCGCTGTACCTCTAAGTTTAATGCCCAGTTGTTGTTTTTTGTTTTAGACGTGATCCTGGGCCTGGAGACTGCACGGCGCAAAGTTTATCCCCCAAAACACGACTCTACATTATTGATCATAAATGGGCTTAATTACAATATTTTTCGAAAAACTTGACTGATTTTCATTGCCCAATAATTTCCTAATAACATGCAAAAAGAATCGCTAAGATTCATTCAATTCCCTACTTGCAATCCACTCCCAAAGATAGGCCTCATTTTAGGCCTTTTAATTGTATTTCCCCCCTTAATATGGACACCGACTAAACTACGAGCGCCCTGGAAGAAGTACTCGTTGCGGAAGCTAAAAGCTCTACTCCTCACGGAAACGAAGTAGACCCAAACAAATTCTACAAACCCAAGCAGCGAATCGAACAGCTCGTGCGAAAATAGAGGCGCACGCGCCGTGATTGGCAAAACAACAGATCACAAGCCTCGTAGAGCAACGCCTTAAGAAAGAAAACCCAATTAATCGACCAAGCTCTTAAACAACAGGAAGAAAATGCA